ATTTTTATTTGGGGTTCTCTTTTGAAATTTTAGTATAGTCTAGACATAGATGAAAAATATATTGATTTGAAGGATACCTATGCACATACACATTATGGGAGAATCGGAGCACTGATTGTGTAACAAAAACCAAACAGGTATTCAAGACTGCTAATGGGATTTTCCCATTAAAGGAATTAGTGTACTGATTCTGAAAGACTCCCGGTAATCTTTATTATTCGAACGTTTACTTGGAATTGTCTACCTTTAGGACACTGATCAGGTTTGGAAATGATGAAGACGCTTAGTATATAAGATTTGCTATAATTTTACATTGTTTCTTTTATCTTATGTTTGAAAAAAAATTTCTTTTTCAATTCCTATTATTAGTTCACACTCCCCCTATATATATATATATATATATATTAGGTTGGAGGGAAAGTTCTGTCGTATTTTAAATAGGCAGGGGGTTTTTGTTGTAAATATATAAAAAAACATCCGGCTAGTGAGTCATTTGGATTTTTTTTTTTTTGTTTCTTTAACTGCTATATAATATAAAAGGAGTCCGTTTTTACTGTTCATCATTTACTTGTAATATTTAAAGCAAAAAACATCTCAGTAGATAAAGTGCATTTTGTATGAATTCCAAAAAGGAAGCAACGCATCGGTTGCATGTAAAAATTTATGGGCGGTATTTGGAAAAGATGTTGTAACTGTTCGTACTTGTCAAAAGATGGTTTAGAAAATTTTGTTCCGGGGATCTGAGCCTCCAAAAAAGTGATCAATCTGGATGACCATCTAAGATCGATAATGATGTTTTGCGATCCATGTTGGAAAATAATCCACATTTAACAAATTAAGAAATTGCAGAAGAGTTTGGCATTCATCATACAATTGTTGTAGATCACATTAAATCCCTTGGGTTTGTGTTAAAGCAAAGTGCTTGGGTTCCACATGAATTAAAGGGAAAGGATTTGTCTGATCGTGTAAGAATGTGTTCATCACATCTGATTAGACACAATGTTTAGCCGTTTTTTGACCAGCTGATTACTGGAGATGAAAAATGGATTCTTTACGAGAATATTAAGAGAAAAAATCTTACTGCAAACTAGAAACAACATCAGCAACAGTTCCAAAACCAAGTATTCATGAATGAAAAGTACTGCTTTGTTTGTGGTGGAACAGGAAAGGTCTAGTGTACTACAAGTTGCTTAAACAGGGAACAACCATCAACGCTGATCTGTATTGCAATCACCTGGATAAATTTAATGCAGCTATCAGAGAAAAAAGGCCAGCATTAGCGTCCAGAAAAGGAATAGTGTTCCAACACGATCATGCACGACCGCATACTGCAATGGTGACACAACAAAAACTGAATGCGTTAGGATGGGAAGTCCTTGGTCATCCACCGTATTCACCTGACATTCACCATCTAATTGTTACCTGTTCAGATCTCTGAAAATTACTAACGGAAAAAATTCAAGCCTTTTGAAATGTTTCTAGTTGTTGCTGACTATTTTAACTCCAATGGAATTTCTACAAAATGGGAATTTATTTTTTACCTAAAAGTAAAAAATTTTTAAAAAGTAATGGAGCATATATAATTGATTAATATTAAACCATATTTTTATAAATGCATTCAAATATTTTCCTTAAAATACGACAGAATTTTCCCTTTTTCCCCAATATATATATATATAGGGCCTTATTCTCTCAAAAAAGAAAACACCCAACAGTCCATTCAAAAACTATAGACGTGGGAAAAGCACACAATTGGGGACTTTGAAAACCGAGTTTAAAAAAATTATAAAATGGAGGGTATATTATAAACATTCGACTTGGACCACTAATATATAAAATAATTTATATAAAAGTGGGGTTAACATTTTTTTACCAGAACCTTCCTTTTGTAAAAAAAACTGAGAAAAAACCTTTAAAAGTAATGGTGGGAATACAAATCCATTACAAGATAAAAGGAACCCGGGGGAAAACGAACTCAGAAACCAAATCTGAGTGCAAAAATAAGTTTTAAGATTCTGGCCCCCTAATGCAGATTTAAATCCGAAACTTGAAATGAGCACTTTAAAAGTAAAAAAAGAAAGAAATAAAATTAATAAAAGTTAAAATTATAGCATAACTTTAGTAACACAAAAGGTAAATATAAAAAAAATAATAAGTAATTGTATCAAATAGAATATAAAGATAACTATAATTATAAAATATTTAAGTTTATAATAAACTATTATCAATTTAAAATTTTTTAAATACCTTCCCTTTTTAATCTTTTTTTAAAAAAAAATTTTGGGGATTTATTGATTTAACAATATTTGTAAAATAATTATAGTTATTTATTCTTTCTGATTTTTTTGACACCAGAAATTTATTACGTTGTATATAATTAATAACAATATTTCTGAATATAGAAACATGTACTTTACTTTCCCAATGAGGAACTTTTATAATATTGAAATAAAATTCTTCTATCATAAATATTGGAAACTATTACATTATGTTTTAATTTCATATGTATGTCAAGAAAATTTACTTCATTGTTGTTATTATTTGTCTGTATTAAATTAAGATATTGTGGATAAAAATTATTGTTTGGTATAAAATTAGCTTGTTTCCCAAAAATGATTATGTCATCTATATAACGGTACATATAATATTTAGAATTATTAATGTAACTACTTTCAAAATAATGTAAGTATAAATTGGCAAAACAGTTGCTCCCAGGGTCACCTTGCGGCAAACCTTTAATCTGCATATAATAGTTACTATTATGATATGTACAGTTCTCTTTAAGTACAAACCTAAGTAGTGAACCGAATATATCATAATTAGCATTATTAAATAAATTAACTTTTTGTAAATTTACAAGTACATTAATCAAATCATCAATATTAATAGAGTTAAAAAGATCTTCAAAATCTAAACTATAGACTGAATAAATCTTTTTATCTTTCATTTGTTCAATAAGTGATTTACTATTTTTAAGAATATTTATTATACCATGTAATATTTCATGGAGAATTTTGCCTGTTTTGCTGATATGTGTATTAAATCCATTTGTGACTCTCCTAAATTTGACTGGGTGTTTATGAAATTTGGGAGTAAGAAATATATTTGGAAATTTAAAATTATTATTAATTTGAATTCTTATTGTTTATGAAAAGCCAAAGTTCGATTATTTATTTCTCTATCAGAAACAGATGACTTAATAAAAGCTTTATTATTATCAAAATAATTGTTGATCATTAAATTATAATAGTATTTACATATGAAGTATTATGACATTATAATAGTATCACATATTATATATATACATAGGGAAAGTGTAAACTAATAGTGAAAAAAAAATCTTTTTCAAACTTTTATATGTACGCCACTGGCCACGGTAAATGCAACGACCTGAAGGAAGCATGCAAATAACATGAAATTTACAACATGCATTAGCGGAGGTGAGATATGCAAATGATTAGAATTTCAGAGCAGACACACATTACGCACGCCTGTGGCGCCACCTCAAGCACTATTTAAGGCTTGGAGATTTCGACGATTTCAAGTTCGGCAATTGTGTTCTTGTGATTTTTTCAAAAAACGATCAATTATGTCTCGTAGAAAACCGCCATCAGCTATTGACCAAGTATCCGAGTTTGACAGATGAAGGATAGTGGGCTACCGAGATTGTGGATTAACTTCCAGGGAAATCGGTAGTTGTGTTGGACGAAACCAATCAACTGTAATGCGGATATGTGACCCTTGGATGCAGAAGGGTACGACGGACCGACGTGGTCTATCGCATCCACCTCAGTGCACCACATCACGTGAGGACAGGCAAATTGTGCACATTGCAATGACGGATCGCTCAGTCACATCACGAACCATAGAAATGTACATTGAGTCTGTAACACATCATTCAGTGTCTGTGCGTACCATTCGACGCCATTTACAGCAGAGTGGTCTGTCCGCAAGACGTCCATTGCTTGGTCTACCCTTGACGAAGAACCACAGATGTCTCCGCCACCAATGGTGAGATGAAAAAAGAATGTGGGAAGCAGAATGGAATGAAGTTGTCTTTAATGAGGAGTCACGCATCTGTCTGCAACACCAAGATGTTCGGATTCGAGTCTGGAGACAACGTGGAGAGAGGATGCTGAACAGCTATGTTATGCACCGCTACACAGGTCCTGCACCGGGTATTAAAATATGGGTTGGTATTGGATATCACTCTCGCACTCCTCTAGTACGCATTGCTGGTACTTTAAACAGCCAGCGCTACACCTCCGAGGTGTTGGAGCCAGTTGTCCTTCCTTACCTTCTGGGCTTGGCCATAGCCATATTTCAACAGGATAATGCACGACCACAAGTGGCACGCATTGTCCAAAGATTCTTCGTCAATCATCAGATTGAATTGCTTCCCTGGTCGGCTCACTCTCCGGATTTTTCGCCGATAGAAAACATGTGGTCCATGGTTGCTCAACAATTGACCAAGATTACACCCCCAGCTGCCATACCAGATTAACTTTAAAAACGTGTGGAAGCTGCTTGGTCTGCTGTACCCCAAGAACACATCGAAAGCCTCCTTGAATCAATGCCGAGTCGTGTGGCAGCGGTAATCTCCAAGAATGGTGGCTACTCTGGCTACTGATTCTGGCAGGAACCACACTTCACAGAAGTCTATAAATGTAATCATTTGACGCTTTGTCAACATGTTATCTACAAAATAAATTTTGTTGTGTTATCTCTTGTCTTTCTTGATGTTGCATTTACGGTGGCCAGCACCGTATATATATATATATATATATAACGATCAAATTTTCAAGTTTTAATAAAATAGTTTTTATTCATCCACTCAAGTTCAAATACCGTTTTATGAACTTGTATTGGATGACACTTGATGTTAATACATTTTTTTCAAATATTAATTCGTTAAATAAATTAAATAAATGTATAAATAGAAACAAAAATTACAGTACAATGAATTATAGAAAATTACAGAAAGGAAAATCGCTCGTTGTGTCCCTGTAGCGCAATGTTTAGCGAGTTGGACTTCTAATCCAAAGGTCGTGATTTCAAATACCACCTGGAATGGCCTAATTTCTGAGGATGTTATTTCCTTTTTACTATACTATATTATTAACAACTTAACTCAGTGGCACGACAGCCCGTGAGGGACAAGGTCTGCTGTACCCAACTCAGTATACGCGACCTAAGGCCCTGAGGTGCATAAGCAAATGTTCCGGTCATGTGGTTAGTCTGACGCGAAACCCCCAGTGTTAAGTTCCCAAGCGAGCTTGGTACTCATTTATCAACCCACTGAAGGAATGAAAGTCTAAGTCAACCTTGCCCAGCCCGTGGTTCGAACCTTTTACCTGTGGTGTGGAAGCGTGATGCTCTAACTACTCAGCCACTAGTCTTTTTACTATTTTAGTAGCATAATTTAATTTAATTAACGAATAAATAGAACCAAACAAAAAATAGTCCAACACCATATATAAAAAGGAAAAAGGAAAATTGCTTTTTATTCTTGCTTTTTATGCTTGCTTGTGATTCTATTATATATATATATATATTATATATTATATATATTAATTGTAATTACTTAATAGAAGTTAACTGAAATAAAGGTTTTCTTTGTTGACCTAAGTAAGAATTGACTAATTTTTTTTTAATATTACTTGTTTATTTTGCAAATAAAACATTTTTAATGTAAAAGACGTTTTGAATTATTATGCTACCACCATCTACATTTAATTTAGATTAACAAAAGTGGTAGCCATTTTAAATGTTCTCGTAATGAAAATATATCAAGTTAATTCAATGACCTTCCCCTTTAATTTTTTTGTTCCCCATCTCCATCGTCTACATAAAATTCAAGTTAAAGCTCTGTATGGAAGTCATGATTATTATAGATGAATTTTTTTATGAAAGGAGAATGTGTTTGAAAATATGTAATTTATTCTTCATTTTTAACCAAAAAATTGCATTTAAAATAATTTTTTCAAAAGTATTCCTTTAACATTTTTATATGTATACTTTAAATCAACGAACACTAAATATGAAAAAAAATATTCATTTATACGAGTTTTTTAAAAATCCCATTTTGAAAACATAGCCAGTAACCTTAAAAAGTATGTTTAAGTTAGTAGAGAAATAAAATGATTATTTTCAGCGGAAATTATATAAAATAAATATCTACTCATCTTTCAAGAAAATACTCATATTGTTGCATAAAAAGAAGGATCATGTTCTGTTATTTACCATAATTTTTTATCTATGGAGTAGGGAAGATAAATATTGAATGAGAGTTTCTGAACATAAGAAATAAATTAAAATTGTAATCATGTTTAAAATAAAAAAATAGAACCAAATTCATGAACGGAATTGTACTCTTTTACCTCTTAACTGCCGATTAAAAATTACAAAGATTCGCTCCCCAGGACCACCGTTTTTTACATTGTTTCAAGTATGCGGTGTGTTGGAGGGAAGTGAAGAAGCATAAATAAATAAATTTGCTCTGAAATATGAAAATCGTTTTCAAACATGGTAGATGTCTCTCTATTATGTTCCAAAGCCGTAGTAATCGTTTAACTGATAGAAATGCAAAGGTAAGAATCGTATTTTAAAAAAACGTATTTATACGTCCGGGATATTTAACACACTGGTTGTGTGAGGCGTATATATACGTCCGGGATATTTAACTCACTGGTTGTACGAGACGTATATATACGTCCGGAACATTTAATGCACTGGTTGTGTGAGACGTATATATACGTCCTGGACATTCAACACATTGGTTGTGCGAGACGTATATGTACGTTCGAGGCCTTCAACACACTGGTCGTGCGAGATGTACATATACGCCGGTGGCAGTGAAGAGGTTAACTTGCCAGTATTAGTAGAATTCTTCTGAAATCTCTATGAAAAATACAAAGGAAAGTTCTACAGTTAAGGCGATTCTAGTTATCACATAATATTAGAATCTAGTTTGAATTCTAGATTCTAGTTATTACATAATTAGGACATTGCATGAGACAAAATAAACAAGAAAAAGTAGTTTGTTCAAAAGAAAGAAAAATAATAATGCCTGAATTACAAACCCCATATTCTACATTGAACACATTTCAAAAATAAAAGATATCATTCAAGAAGTAACCAGGTGAGTGGAAATGAATTCGCTTAATTTCAGCCTTCCCCACAGACCAGTAGGTTATCCGTTCGTAATAAGTCAAGCGGAAAGTGTAAGGGTTATTGAGAACGAACACCCATTTTCTCTACAAATGATTAAATTGTATCTCGCAATCGATCGGTTGGTTCTTGCTGCATATTGCACAGGATTGTAGTTGACAGTATGATAGAAGACTTACTAAATGAAGTTTATTTCCTCTAAATGAAGGATACGAATTCGCGCTAAGTTTATTAGTAATCCATCTTAGTCCTCCAAACATTTTGCAATGTTATGACTTTTGGTAAAAATGTATTTACGAGTTTTACAAACTTATACATGTTTCGCCGTATGTACGTATATTCTTTTTATAATCGAAACACTTCGAAACTGCTTAAAGGAAATTAAAAGTAATATATAAACCAATTATTTATTCAACAATTCCTATATAATGTTAAATATAAGATAGTTTATATGTAATTAATTTGCTTTTGTCTTTCTTACTTTTCATTTAGTTAGAAGCTAAGATTATAAGCATTCAAAGAGAATTAAATTCAATTCTAAAAAGTTTTTAAATTAGTACATAAATTGTATAAAAAAGAGCATTCCTAAGCTATAATTATGTGAGAATAAATACTCACTCTTTTGATCCAAAAATTATTATATATTATGCGTAACCTTTAAATGCTTGATTTTTTTTTTTTTTTGCGGTTTAAAAACAATTATAGGGATGTAGTCAATAGTTAAGTAAAAAATAAATTTAAAAAAAAATTCAGGCAATAATATTATTTATTTCGTAAAAAGTTGTATGTAAATTTTTGCAAAACGGGTTTTCCCAAAAAACACGGGAATTCAAAAAACCAAAATTTCAATTTAAAAAATATAAAAATGTTGATAGCTTCCCTTAAAAAAATATAAAGGAAAGTATCCACTATACATATATATATATATTAAAAGTGGGGAAAAAAGAAAAATTCCCCCAAAAATTGGGAAATTCGAAAAATGTTTTGTATAATTCCCCCAAGTAACATACTGAAATTTATTACGCAACACATTCAAATGTCAAAAAAAATGTATCTTACTTGCCAAAAGTAACATGTATTACATGTTTTACTGTGAATGGTTATCAACGTACGTTTTTGAATAAAATTAAGTGGAACTGCAACGTAGGTAAAAGGCAACATTATGCACTTAATTGTGAACATGCTAACGTGTCCTAATTCTAAACAAATCCTTTGGGTCCCATTGTGTCATGTTTTTTCTCATAACTATTTAACTTGCATTATTATTATTATACTTCTTATTTGATTTTGGCGTAATTATGCAACTGTATGTATGTATGTAAGGGTAATTAAATTAGATTTAAAACTAAATTCCCTATATAGCCCTCAACTTTTATTTTCCATTGCATCTTCAAGTATTAAATTAATCATCCAATTATTTCTTCGAAACATATAGCCTAAACACTAAACACTTCTAATCTCAGATCATTATATTTAATAGCTCTATATGTCAGCATATTAACTTTCAAGTACATGTCATGAAGTTTACATATCGGAGCTTAAATGGTAAAAATACATTGATTTCACTTTCGCGTTATTTTTCTATCAGCCTCTCATCGTCAGAACTTGTACAGATTTCATCGAATAAAGATCCTTTTTAAAAAATTACGATTCATTCTGGCTCTAAACATGTCATATATATATATATATATAATTAATATATATATATATATATATGCTGGTGTTTGAATATGTTAATTTTGTTACACAACTTTGAGTTTGGCAGCTTAAAGAGTTGAGAGTTTTTCTCGCAGCGTTGTGAATGTTGCTTTAAAAACCGAAATTTCTTGGGTTTTGGGAAGGAAAAAAATCGGGCCTAAACATCCTTCAAATGGTTTAATGTGATGGATAGCCATTACCAGTCTCAAGCTTTAAAGTCATCGATGCTGGACAGTTTCAAGTGGAGGTAGATCAATAGTTAGAAATTGCACTGAAGCTAGTAAACCACGTTGTGACATTAATTAAAAATAATAACACTATCACCCAGAAACCTTGAAAAAACCAACAGTGACGATACCTGCACAAGTACATTATTTGGCACGATGTGAGTACAATGACATTACTACTACGTTTTGAAGAATATATTTGTGGTAAGAAAGATACGGGGCGTCATCGAGATGATTCCCCCTGCTCGCCGTCCCAAAGGTGAGATATCTTAAAGAAAGTCCATTTTTTTTCGGGGGTCACTTTTGGACACACTGCGACATACCATCCTGCGATAGATATGTCTAGTGGGATCCGCGTAAGCTAGAGGTGTGGGGTTATCCAAAAAAATGAGACATTTTGTGATTCTTTAAAACAACTTTTATTAAAAATAACTTAAATTTCTTAATTCTAAATAACAACTTTCTTTTTTAAATGAGAATAAGCCACAAATTAAACTGAATATTTTGTCAGATCGCACAACTAGATCACTTATCTTAATTATATTTAATTATCTCTGCCTAATCTAACTTCCTATACAAAATAATTTTTACTTTTTTTTGGGTAATCCCTCCCACCTTTTGAAAGGAACTCTCCTATTCGGCTTTTGAGATAAGAATACTCGGCCTTTTAATCTTTCTTATATTTAATATTATTAATGACGATGAGCGTATCCTTCTTCCTTGGTTGTAGGTCGTCTAACGCTTGTTCCGAACAATTCCGCACAAAGTTATTTTAGGTTCCCTTTTTTATCCCCAAAAACCCTTATCCTTTTAAAGTATATCCCTTTTGCATTTTCGTCCTTTTTTCTCTTTTTGGTAGGGGTTGGAAAAGTTTTCCCATTAATCTGGCAGTAAAAGAACTTGGGAGTTATGTTAGAAGAAGAACGCGAGAGATGTCACAACACAAATTAAGTGGAAGTGAGTTTTGACACAAATGAA